TTCTTCTAAAATACTTCTTGCACTGGCTTGTAATTTCCACTCTAATAATCTGCCAAGCTTTCTTGAAGAAAAAAAGCATTGTATCCATCACATCCTGGTGCCTTTAAGTCAGCACAACTTTTAGGCCAAAGTTATTTCTTCATTTCTATAGGTTCCATGAGGTATTGTTGCTGCTCTCTTTTAACATAGGTCTAGAGTTCATGATCACGGGGTCAATAGCAGTAGTTCATCTACACATGATCCTAGCAACTTCATGTAGTAAACTCAATACTTTTTCTCTATCTCAGCTCTGGTTTGCACAATGACCCCATCATTGTGACCATTCTTTTATACAATTTCTAATCCTAGTTTTGATGCTTGCATGGAAATATGCAGATTCAGTCTCCCAGTCTTAGCCATTGTACTCTAGACTTTTGCCTCAGGATGTTTCTTCCACCAATCAATTTTTCAAGCTGATGCTTCATCTCTTTATCTTTTTCCAAATAGCTCGGTATCATCATACTTATCCCTCAGTTACATTTGAATCTCATGAGTTTCTGTCTAGCTAGTTGTGTCTGAGCTTCAACCTTTGGGTAAGCATGTGTGTGTAATGTTTGAGCTTTACTTTCAAGACTTCAGCTTTTTCCATATTCTCTCCATTTTGCCTCCTGTTACTTGTTGGTTCCATGAATGTTTTACTATCTCTTGGAAATCTTGGTGATTTCCAAATGTTGAAAATTTGAATGCCTGGGTCTATTCCATTGCTGAGTTTCCATATTGACACACAACATGCAGTGATCTGAAATTGTGGTCAAGGATCTATACATCAATTCGGCCATTTGATCTTCTAGAGATGATAACTATGCCTATCAATTTACTATGAACATTGAGTTGGTCCAGTGTAGAACTTCCATTGTTCTATCTCTGTGAGACCATTGTTGATCAAGCATTGATCAAAACCCTAGTTTCACTGTCTAGCACCTGGATCCCATTCTATCTTCTCCTCTTAAAATACATTGAAATTCCCATCAAACCATGGATGTTTAACTATATGTGATATGTGTCAATGCAGTCCACAAACCTTTCTATCATTTATTGTATGCAAACATATGTTGTAGTGAATTCAAACTCAGTACCATTCGAATCAACTAGACAATGTATCATTGATTGTGGGTGTGTAGCACGTTATATCAACTATGCCTGGGTTCTACAATATCCAGATTTTCTCTTTCAGAGCCCAAATAGTTATGATGTAGGACCATCCAGGAGCAACCTTCTGTATTATTTTGTAGCATGTTCCCTGCTTATCTATGCTCAACAATAGCAATAATATCAATATGTTCCTTCTTTATTATTCTGGATATTCTTTACTTAAATAGCTTATTGAATCCCCTTACATTCCATGTTGCAACCTTCATAAGGCTTGTTTTGGTGGTTTGGGGCTCTTCCCAATTGCACCCCCTAGTTGTTGCCCTCTTTCAACCTTATCAAAAGCCAATTGAATGGCTTGTTGAGTGTGTTATCCATAAGCGGATTGAATTCATTCATTTCAAATATCCTCATGAATATCATGGCTTTCCCCTTCACAACTGATTTTCCTTTTGCATTTATCCAGTCCGCTCAGGTTGTATAATAGGGTCCTCTTCAGGAACAACTTGTGAACAGGTTTATTGGTGTATAGGTCCTTGTTGTCCTTGACATTCCATACTTGTTTCATCTTCCTTTGCCCTGCCTTTGGTCCATTTCTTGACTTTCGGTTGAGTTGTTGGTTGTGCAGAGAGCCCAATTTGGCAGCATGTTGGACAAAATGCGATTTCCAGTCACAACTAACCTTTTGTTCAAATATATTATATTTTGGGTCCATTACTCTTACCACCTCCGGTAATGGTCCAGTGATATTAATCTCCACTAGAACTCTAGCATAGGATATGTTCTAATTTCGTGGTGATTAATTACGCATATGGGTTTCCCTAAAACACTTGTGATTCTGCTAAGTGATTTGGTCCCCAAAATTTAATGGCAGGTTAGGGAATTTTACCCATAGCGGTATTACCTTTAGTACCTCATCTTTGAAATTGAAGTTGGTAGTCCATGGTTTCACAATGACAGGCTTGTAGTTTATATCACTTCACTACAAAATAGTCTTCATTGTGATAGTAAACTTTAAGTTTCCGAGTGTATTCCGCTTACCCTTCCAAAACCTTGTTACAGCTGCAATGGTTGGTGAATCCCAATTACATATAGTATGAAACATTCTTCCACATTGCTGCTTCTTTAGCTACTTCATCTTCATTTAGTTTTCCAATTTTGACCCCATCCTTCACCATTGGTGGGATAAATTGTAAATCCATTCCTTTCGATGCCATAGTATTTCCTTCAAACAATGAGAATGGCTTCTCGGTCACCGTGTCGGTCGGCATGGTCAGTTTCCGATGTACTTCTCTAAATCCCTTCCTTGGTTCCATGGGTTGACATCGCTCTACCAAGTTGGCCTTGTGAATATCTTCCGTCATCGCCCCTTCTTGTACTGCAGCAACCACTGGTTCTACTATCGTCCTGTGGGGTGTGCTTTCCTTCGACCTGTGTCATCTCCTTCTGTGATGGAGGGTTTATCGTCACTGTACCTGGTGTTTTCGATCCCTCGCATCCGTATGTATAGTACCACTTATGCTTGATTGTTGGGCAATAGGTGTCTTTGTAGTAGTCATTTTCTTGCCATCCCTCTTCGGTCGTCCTCTAGCCATTCTGGCACGGTGGCTGCGTAGCTTCATTGCTATGTGCGCACCTTAGTGGAACGGCTGTTAACGTACGCCGAGAGAAAAACTGATTCTTATGTATTTTTTATTTACTTTTATTGTTAAGCTTTAAACGATTTTATCTCATGCTTATGTTTTACATTTAATTGAGTTATATTTCAACCATTTTAGTTCAGTTAATGTTCCCTTTAGCTATATTATATATTCGTACATTTAATGTACTGATGTCATTCGATCTGCATCTTTTATAGGATATAGCTACAGGCAGTGGCGAAATTACAGCCAAAAAATAGGGCATCCGCACCCGTGGTCTCTTCGTAAAATTAGATATTTTATATGTATATCTTTTAAGATTTTGTATAATATTATATTCTTGCACCCTTACTACGAGAAGTCTAAATGGTCCACGTGGTTAAATGTTGAGCTTTTGACCTTGAGGATTAAGGATCAATTCTCACTTCAATACATTTTACTTGGTGCACCCATGTTCAAAAAATTCTAGATTCGCCTCTGGATACAGGTGTTCAACTTCATCAATCAACACTTCGTTGAGATCACTTCACACTCGTGATAACATTTTTGGTGAGACCTATTTGCTTTCGGAGGACTCCAATCATTTTAGTTCAATTTTAGTTTGTTTAAGGTTGTCGTGAGTCTTGTCCCGGCGCCTGTCTTAAAATAGTAGAGTCTTCATAAATAGACAGTATTGAGAGTTTCAGTATTGTTTTTCAGATGTTTTGTTAAAACTATTACTACTATCATTCAGTATTTTCAGACATTTAAATTGAGAACTTTGACTTAATGATTTATTTCTGTTTTAAAGCCTATATCTACCTGTATTGCTTATCAGAAAAAGGACTATAGAATTGTCCTTGTCTTTCATAATGACCTCATCCAGTGCTCTTGGATGAAGATGCAATATCAACATGATTCATAACTGGTGATTGATCCCTTCTCCAACTATCAAAGTTACCTTCATTCCTTCTCCAACCATCAGAGTTACCATTTCCTCCTCCATATGGTTTCCTAGGTGAATAGCCAACTAATTTGTAACAATTGTCCCTTGTGGGACCTTTCATCTAAGTCACACTACTTTCCTCTGAATCCTGTACCTTTTCCTGCTTGCAGATTCAAGACACTTGCCTGCAGTGCCAAGGATTCCATCTTCTCAGGTGTCTTGGCAGCAATGTTTGCTGCAGCTACCTATTGACTCTTATTTTGGATTATCATGGCATATGTTTGTCCTGATGAAGGAGTTACTGACTTTATGAGGATTTGCCTCCTGGATTGGTTATATGATTCATTCAAGCCACTAAGGAAATGGAGCAACCTCTGTTTGTTCAAATGTTCAATGTAGTCCTTCGATTTCTCACACCCACAACTTGGTGATGGAACCAATACATAGTACTCATACCACAATTCCTTCAATTTTGAGAAAGAAACTAAAACAAAATTGGTACCTTGCATCACTGTAGTGATTTCCTTGCGTAATTATCAAATTCTTACTCTATTCACTTTTGTCAAAGTTTTCCTTCAAATCTTCCCAAACCAGATGTGCATTCGAAGAATAAACAATCCCATTTGGGAGATTTGCAAAGATTGTGTTCATGAGTCATGATAGGATAATAGCATTGCATGTTTTCCATTGCTCATGGAATTAAGCATCAAACAAAGCCTTTGTGCATGATCTAATCACTAATCCTAATTCTCATTAATCTACTCCATAAGACATAGTTTTTATATCCGGTAAGCTTCACTGGAATAAGGACAGATTCTGAAGTATTTGCCTGGCCTAGAAATAGAGGATGAATAGCATCAATCTTCACTCCTATCATGGAAACTGCAAAAGCAAGCTTCAATTGAGGATTCGTGAAGGAATTACTCAGCGAATCAAATCTACTGTATTGATACCATGTGAAAATATGAGGTATCAGCTTGAAAACTTAGCTCAAGTTGTTCATCAACGGAGATCAATATTCTAAAGCGAACTATAAAAGAAGATATTTTAAAATTGAGAATTGTATTGATCTGAATTGTTATGTGTACAATAACTACGAATATATAGAGTAAAATGCTAAGCTAACCACCTTAACTATCTACACTAGCTTCACAACTATACAATTAACCACTAATCTAACTAATTGTAACAATATTAACAACTTACGACTTTGAATTCCGAATTTGCGGACATCAGAATATATTCAAATACTTTTAAAAAGGAATAAATGACTAATTAATTATGTTAGAAGAAAATTAGACACAATGAATGAAGGAAATAACTTATATATATATATATTGCACATAAATATATTTTGGGTTACAACTCATATAAGCATCCTTCAAACAGACATCAAATTAAACCACCAAACAGAAAAAACCATGAAAGTATAGTATAATAACATGTCACACTATTATCCTTTACATGGCTATATATAAGTCTTATTCAAATTATTATACAATGTTTTTGTGACACAAAATATTACATAACAGAATTTATTATTTCATGTTCATAGTGGAACTTCAACAGTTGCAAGGGTCACAGTTGCAGCCTGATCCACACTTGCACCCATTCCCTCCTTCTGTTGCCTTCTCAACTGATCCTTCAACCATTCCCTTGCTGCAAAATTTAATCATATAGAACCATTAATTTTACCACCAATAAATCTCTTGGATAACTACTCGAACTGAACAACTCCAAAAATAGCTCATGAGGAGGTTATATTATCCAACACATATAAGGAGAGACCAAATAACCTTTAATCCACGAATGTGGTCTAAATACCCCTACATCTAGGACTGAACATCTGGAGCATAAACGATATAAGACGGGGTCCAATATTAGATGATACAGTGAATTAGACTGGATCTAACTCTGATATAATATTCTATAAAGAAGAAATGAATCTTAGACCAAAATAACTCAACCACAGAAGCCAGCTCAGGAGTAGAGGATTTTTCAAGACCATATATAAGAAATATCTATTAACCCTTAACCATCGATATGGGCCTCAACAAGGTAAAAGGGACATGATAATTTGATAGTGAAAAATTATTTCACATTCGATTGATATTACTAATTGAACTCTTTGAAATGTTTCTAAAGCCTATAGCAATATTGATTTTTAATGACAATTAACTAATGCTGGTAAAGTGTTTAATAATCTTTTGAGGAATTGGTCAACTCATCAGGCTCATGACCTGAAGATTGAAGGTTCGAATCTTCGGACCCTCTACCTCTACTTCCCTTCCGCTCATAAACAGCCTTCCAACAAGGAGAAAGAGATAAAGAAGAAAATTCAAAGTTACTAGGTAATCAGTGAAGAGGTTTATAAAAGCCCTCTTTCTTTACAAAAAAAGGATACATGCCCCTTTCCTTTGTTAATGTGCATATTTATTACTGGTAACAATTATATTTATTTTAGTATGAACTCAACAATTACTTTATAAGTCAGCTAGTCTTGTTAATATTTTTCAGATCATATATAAATTCATAAAACTAAAAACTCATAACAAAATTTAGTATTACTTACTTGTTCATAGGTGCAACTCCCTCGATGATGGTAAGGGTAGTTGACTTCTCCAAATCAGGGTACATGTTGCACCTGCAACAAATTGACATCGTATAATTATCATAAGTCATATTTATTATTCTCGACTTGAACTATGTACGTGTATATTATTATATATATACTTGATACATATTTGTATGTACCATCAAATTTATTTCTATGTCATAAATTAAATTTGTTTGAAACCGAAAAGAGAATATTTAAACCTGAAGTTGAAAAGAGTATTTCAGTGTTCACGACTTTTCTTAAAAAAATATATATTTTAATAGTTCAGTTAGTTGGCTTACCCTCCACCCTTGCCGCAACTGCAGCTAGAACCACAACTGCAGCTTGAACCGCAACCAGACATTATAATATTTGAATTCGAAAGACTTAATAATAATGAGAGTATTTCAGCAAATTAATTAAGCAAGTGATTGATGTTTTGGTGAAATTAACAAAAAAGTTTGGGCTTTTTATAGGAAAAGGAAAGAGGGAATAGGTCATTGTCTGCTTCACACGTGGACCAATAGTATGGTTTAGAAAATAACGTCTTATCAATGTATACTATTTTTTATTTTATTTTATTTTATTGAGATAAGAAGGCATTATACTTGCTTCTATAAAGATTGACTCAGCATATTATAAATAGAATAATATCAAAACATTTTAAGAGATAATTATGTTTTGTTTCATTCATTCTATATAATTATGTGACGGTGCAATTGATTACGAAGTTCAAGATTTTAGTAATATAAATTCTTGCAACTTAAAAAGTCTTATTAATAAAAAATAATATTAAAACATTTTGATATGTCCCAAATAAAGTTAAAAATAATGTCATATAGATTAGAAGAATGTGACCCTAATTCTATTAAGAAAAGTAATGTGACGTTCAAGATGAAGACAAAATAAATCCATCAATATATTTAGATAACTATAGGATTTAAGGTAGGCTCAGTTTGTTGATTATAGGTTCGATCGAATTTAATAACTTTAATTTAAATTTTGAATTTTTAGTAAAATGTTTCTTGAATATATACAAATTATATAGTTAGAACCCAGTAATTTAAAAGAATTAGAATTCTAAATTCGTATACTTTAAATTTTGGCTTCGACTCTAAATTAGGATCCTCTCGATCGATATCCATTTTGACTAATGATCCAAAACCATTTCCATTATAATTTAACTGTTTCTTAAAAGTGAATTAATTAGGAGTTCTTCAAAAGTCAATCAAGAAAAAAAGATAAAGATATGTTAGGAGTATTAGATTTGCTAAATTATTTTTCCTATGATACAAGATATGTTGTCATGTGTTGAAACATTCTATGAAGACATGTTTGGGTTGGCTATCAATCTTCATTATATTAATGTCATAAGTATAATTAATTGGTGTCATGACTTTTGGAGATTTATCGAAAGTGATAATACCTATTTAATATGTTACAACTTGTGTTGATTTGTCTAGACCATTTATAAATGATGCACTCAATAATCCTAGGAGTAGCATATAGTTTGATCACACACTATTAGAAATAAACACATTATTCATTGTCAATCAATAAAAAATTTGTGTTATAAATATGATTTCTAATTTAATTTTTTTTATCGAATTAGCTTACTGAAAAATTGCATCGTCGAAAACAAATTATTATTAAAATAGTGGGAACTTTCTATTTTTCTTGTGTGAAAATATTGCTATTTTTTATTCTTTCTAATTCAAAAAAAAAAATCTATAAAAATAATCGTCGAATATATTTCAATGGAATAATAATGATTTTTTTAAAGTAGCGAGACATCTCATGACATTTAGTCCTCCATTGCAACAAGTTACATTTGGTCTTTGAAAACACCCAATTCAAATGGTACATAATCTAATAGTTGGTTCTTTTCATATTGTTGGAATGTATGCGTCCACCTAAGTAGATGGGACCAGGTCCTTGACACAGTTATAATAATAAACAGTAAAGACCAAATACTGAAAGTAAAGATTGACAATCAGCTTTACGTGGAAACCTCCTTGCTCAAGGGAGTAAAACCATGACTTGTTCTCAACAGGACTTTTCAAATTGCTTCCACTAATCTTCTCCAAGCAAAAGTAAAAGTCAGTTTACAAAATGAGATTAACCTGCTAATCTCCACACTAAGCAATACCTCCTATCACTTGGCTGAGCCAGAGCAGATACAACACTGCCCACTATACTAATCCTAACCGATTAATATAGACTTTAGAGTAAGAGAGTAAGTTACCCTTAACCTAGTTCTTATAATGATTCACACAGTCATCCTCTCTTCTCTTGTTAAAAATGGATTTGATCTGGCCCGTTGCATGAGCTGCGTTAATTAATTGAGTGTTCAACATGCTCTCCTTTTGTTTTTGCGTTATAGGTCTGTTGATTTTGATTATTGCTAGCGTGGTTTTGTCTTCTGTTAAAGCTCTTTCTATTCCAATAAGTTTGCTTGTATAACTTAGTGTTCTCATCTTTGAAGTATGCCAAAATGGATTTATTAATAATTGTTTCAGTGTTAGTTTCAAATAGTTTGAACTCGAGTGAATAGACTTCCCTAAATAATTACTTCGGTTCGTGGTTTTGTTAAATGGTAGCGTGATTTTGTTTTTTGTTTTGTGAAAGATGTCATTATTTTATTTGGGAAAATTGTCAACTCAACTACTATTTTAAAAAATAAGTGGTATGCGACTATTGTTTCTACACCTTCGGTTACTTAGCTATTTGAATGGTGTGATTAGATGCAAAGTGTTTTGGCAAATTACCATATTATCGTTTCTTAAAGTTGTGGGTATATTTTCACTATTTTGGCATACTCTTCCATTTCTTTTTTGTTTTATTTTATCTTGAGCAGTTCTTATATTAACTTCTTTGCCTTTCTTCTTTTGTGATACATCTGAATCTGCCTTGAGGCCTCATGGACTTCTCCATTCCCCTTGCATTTCGATTTGGGCCGTAAAGGCCCAAATTTGCTCTTCTCACTTGAGTCAGCCTCATTATCGGGTCAACAAAACTGCTGTACAGGTTAAAAGTAGCTTGATAATGCTGGAAATTAAATTTTCAAGCTCCAAAAATATCGAAAACAGGCTGATATACCTGTTGTATACACCGATATACAGTCAAAAAATATAATATACAGGTCCAAAACGTGAAAATGCAGATTGAGAAATGTAGAAATACAGAGCTCGAATAAAATCACAGATTCGGGAGTTCGAGAACTAGCGGTATACATGGTGTATACATCAAATATACACTTGGTGTATATCATGATAAGTGAGAATGAAAAGTGCCAAAGGCCCAAGAAAATTTCAGCATGTCCAAAGGAGTTAATGGGCTGACCCATGACTATTGGCAAAGTGGTAGACTTAGGACAGGTGAACGAAAAGGCCAATTTAATTAGATTTGAGCCAAAAACCAAGTTTAATTACTTCTTTTCCCTCTCTTATTATTTATATTGTATTGTTCGACTAACTTTGTCTATTTTATGGTTTAATTTAATTAAATTGTCATAGATAGCCATTTCATTTTTTATCATATTCAAATTAAAAGATTTACGTTTTTTATACTTAACTTTATTTTTATTATTAGCCTTGCAACTTGCAATTTTTCCCTTTAAGAATGACCCCCCTTAGTTTATTTCCCTTTAAAAATAATTAATAATTAAAAAAGAATGTATAAATAAATAAATAAATAAAAGAAATGAGTTTTTTTACTTAGTTAAAATTTAAAAAAAACTAGTCAAAGTCATTTTAGTCAAATCTCCAGTCAATCGCAAGTTAGCGGACATTCTGAGGGCCTAGCACCTTCTCGGAATGTACATTTGAACCCAAACCCTTTTATTTTCAATTGATTTTATCTGTTTAAATCTTTTGAAAACTTTAAGTTTTTTCTTAAGTTTTATTAAAAATTAAGTGGTGACTCTGTTTTTTTGGAAAATCGATTTCTCAAGAACCATAACTTTAATCGATTTTTCAAAAACTTAGACATTTTTTAATTTATATTTTCGAGTAAAATAGAAATGACGACTCTGCTGGGGAAATGAATTAAGTTCTAACCATAAGATTTGACTTATTTGATTAATTGTTATTAATTGCTGAATTATTTATCTGTGCTTATTGTGTTTAAACTGCTATTACTGTCATTGCAGTTCATGACATTTCTTATTGTATGTACAGTATATTAAAGGACGATTTTGCGGAATCGTAGCCGAACTTTTTTATACTCAACCCTTTTCTGGAATAATCGATAATTTATTGGTTCATTATGCGTCCAATGGTTGTCGTGAGTTCCAGCCTAAGTTGTCCACTTGGGTTCCCGGTCTTTCAAAAGCCACTGTTAGTCAACTAGCATAGAGCGAAACCGAATCCCCAATTTAGCGCATTTTGAACTAAGTTGACCCAACACCCAAGGTGTATTGAGCCCATTAGAAGCCCACCTTGTGTCTATTTGACCCATTGATCAATAAAAGACAACCATGCTTATGTGTTTAATTGAATGATATATATGTCATTTTTAAACGAATCAATTATTTATAGGTTGGGGGTAGCTTACCTTTGTCTATTTTTCTTGTAGGATGAATCCAGCACATGAGCCTCTGAGAACCCGAATGGTGACCATACCTGATCCTTACCTCCAAGTTTGATGGATATTCATGAATAATGGAGACAAGAGAAAGGTTCAAAGACACATAGGCAATCTCTCCTCACTAATGGAAATGGTGGCTTGGTCCGATTTAATTGGAACAATGGTAAAGTTTTGGGACAGCGACAATATGGTATTTCGGTTCGGGGAAATAGAAATGACGCCGACTATTGAAGAAATCCTTGCAAGTTATGAGAGTGTCGACATGTGCAACAAGAGGAAACGTCAACCTGATACGAATCTTCTTTTCCCCAAAACATGGAATTTTACTGAAATTAAAGAAAAATTGTCACTCGTCAAAGCCAAATGGATGGACAAGCTTCCCGGACCAAATATTCCGCTTAAACAACTCTATTATTGATTTGGACGTGAAAGGGCTTATGAGAAATTTAAAGAAGAGTTTGTCTCAAAAGAAAAATGAAAGGAGACACGTCATCTTGTCTTTGCAAAATGCCTACTTGGGACGATGGTATTTTCCCAGGGACCAAACTACACTATCCATCCAAGTGTAGTAATGGTCACTCATGCTATCTTTTATGGAGTGGGCTACGGGTCGGCAACCAAGTACTACACTTTGGCGCCCATGATTTTGGCCGACATTTATAGGGCTTTGGACAAGTGTCAAAGCGGAGAACGTTTTTTTCAGAGATGCAACCTGATACTTCAATGGTGGATGATGAGACACTTGATCAAAGCCCATAATCCAGAAGAACCAGATCCGTTAAGACGGTCAGAAGAACTTGCAGGTGACGATTGGTGGATGTACCATAATCATTGCAAC